GTGGCAGAACCGGCATTCGGCACTGGAGCCCGCCAGGCCGCGAGCTCGCGCCAACTCGGTCCGCGGCTGTGGAAAACCTCCAACAACTCGGTGGCTTCGACCCGTGCACCAGCTGATCCCACACACAAGGAGCTGCCTCCTTCCTCGCCCACCCCAAGGCAAGAGCCGAAGGGGCGGGGGCGCGGCTTATGAGCGTACCCACGGGGGTTAGTTGAGAGGAGCAGTGAAGGTCGGAAACTGGGAAAACAGTCTCCACGCTCAGACTCGGGAAAAGGAAATGCATCAGCAGGCGGGGAGGGGCGCGGGGGGCGCGCCTGTCAGCCGGAATGGCGGCCGCCGACTGGTAGGCGGGGCGTTGGCGGGAACCGCTGCGGTCGGCTGGAGCGTCTCCGAGAGAGGAGGCGCAGAGGCCGGGCCCACGTCGGCCCAGCAGCTCCTGCCTCCACGCCTCAGCCTAGCCCTAGCCTGTTTACTATCTACTGCGACAACCGCCTGTCCAGACCCGGAGGAGAGCTGGGGGGCGGGGCCTTTCCCCCTCTCTTCCACCCATTTCGGGGTCCTCCAGAGGGCCCGCCTTCTCTTGTCTTCCACTGGATGGGCGGTGAGACTCCCTTTTTTCCTTCTCGGTTATTGATTGGATAACCTTCTTCCGAGCTCCGCCTATCGGACGCTGGGCTGGAGTTTAAGTTCGAGGATTTTTTTTTTTTTCGTGAACGGAGGAGGAGGGATTCCTACGGCCTAACGCGAGGCGCAAGGTCCCTCCCCTACTTCTGATTGGTGGGGTAGATAGTCCCGCCTCTGGCGTAGCTAGCTTGGAGGAGGAAGTCCACCCCTGTTCCCCGCCCCCTCTCTTGGGTTGTATGCGCGCTCGACCACTGGTGAGGCCCGCCTTGCTCCTTAGAAGTGTGTCCCGCCCGGAAGTCCCGGCTTTGGAGTTGGAGCCCGTGGCAAGGCGGGGCGAGCCAAGAAGACACACAATGATTCATTCCACCAAGGCTCGATATCTAGTAACCTTTGCGATGAAGTTAGGGGTTGACGGTGCGGAGAGAATTGGGGGGAGGGGGCTTAGTTCCGGTTGATCAGCGTGGGTTAGAAGGAGAGAGTGGGATCTGCCCTTCCGGGCGAAGTACTAAAGTGCTGACCCTGCGGCCTGGCTTATTCCTGCGCCCTTGGACTTTTTAAAGATCGTCCTCTGTTTAAGCTTGAAAACGCTGCGGCCGTTGTGTTTTCTTCCCAGCGTAAGGCAGCCGTTGTCCTTAGTTGTGTTTATCTAAAACTCTAAGCAACCTATGTATGATTGGTCTGGAGGCCTCAGGCAAGATCCAGAGCAGCTCATCCCCTGTTGACGTGATGAATCCTGCTTGGGTTCGAAGTGGTCAGGTGGGAGTGCAGTGTGGCACACAGTGCAGGGAGCGGGGTCGACCTAGAGTTAACAGCCCTCGGAAATGCCGCTTCTTCGAAACCGAAGGGTTTGGTCCGGGGTTCCCTTTCCTCGGTGTGACTTATTTTTAGAACTCTATTGGGCAGGACTTGGATCCCAGCGAGGCTGCTTCCATTTGTCGGCTGCTCCTGGGGTTCAGAATTAGCTGCCTTGTCCTTGTGGCTTGAAGCCGTCCTTCGAGTCAGGCCCACCTGTTGCCGGCGCTCATTCCTTGCCGTCTCCGCCCGATTGGGTAGGGAGGGCACGTTAGGACTTAGGTTTCTGGGGCCTGACACTTGTCTAGTAGGCTCTCTTGCAGTAGCCTTTGGCTGGAGAGAGCGGGAAAACTCTAGTCCCGCCCCCTTCTCTTCTGGCGCTCAGTGAGCACCCTCCAAAACATGGCTAGCATCAGTTCTCCGCCCTATTTGATGAATAAATAAAAGCAACCTAAAGACTTCAAGCACTTTGTGTGTTCGAAGCACTATGGCAAAGAGAGGGCTTAAGGATTGCCATTAACCCTCGCTTTCCAAGGAGGAGGTGAGCAGCCGTTCTTACTATCTTTTGTCCCCAACTCTAATTTTTATCCTTTTTCTGAAGTTTGACTGAAGGTTTATTTATGCCATGGGCTGTTTGGTCTACTTCCTCAGTTCTTCCAGTCTGAGGATGCCTCTAACCTGGAGATGGCGAGTGCCTTTTGCATCACGCTCCGCCTCCCAGGGCCATGGCTGTTAGAGCCCTGCCTTCATTTTTATTATCTCCGCCCTCTTAAGACTGCTTTTTCAGGTTTATGGAGAAGTGTGCTGCGGGTTGGCAACCCCTGGGGCTATTTCTCGGCTTTGATCTCCAGTTCTTATTCTGCACCCTCCTTACTAAAAGGAATTGTCGGCTGCTCCGGATATTTGTGTTTACGAGGAGGCAGCGTGAAGAAATGTAAATTATAAAGAGTGAATGGGATAGGAAGGATGAGGTTCTCTTTCTCTGTATAGGGGGCGGGGTTTATCCAAGGTGGTTGTGCCTGCCGCTGCCTCTCTCCTAATCCCAGGGATAGAATCTCGGCTATGGAGGGCGGCACCTCCTGTTTCGGCCCTGGAACTCTGCGTTCAGTCTCTAGTGTAAACATTCCACAAAAGGACTGCTTAAGGTTCAGCCTCCTCGCGCGGGGCGGAGTCAGCTCCTTCTTAGACGGGTGTCCTGGCCAATGGGGGCCTCTATCAGGCGAGAGCTATCCAATACAATGGTTGGGGGCGGGGCATGGCCCGGCAGTGTGATAGGAGGAGCTTGTCTCACGGACATTTTATCCCACATCGATTACTTACCTTCCTAGGGCAGTGGGAGAGCCTTCCAATGCGATGATCGGCGAGGGCGAGAGCTGACTTGTTGGGTCTGTAGCTGAGACGGCTTGGGGCGTGATATGTGGAATCCTCCAATGAGACGTAAAGGAGCTTTTATGCTTCCTCCAATAGTGTTGCGGCTTGGGGGTGGGATTCAGCAATTCATCTCCAATAGGCGGGGTTGAGTTTGGGTAGCTCCCCGCCAATAGGGGCGTGGAGAAGGTGAGCGATTCCCTCTCCCCGCCCTGCAGAGGGGGAGGGGGCGGGCATAATGTAGACAGGACACAGCGATTGGCTAAATCTTTGACAGACAGATTATGCGACCTGTGGCAGAGCGAAGCTGAGTCTTCCCTATGCGGGGCGGGCCGGCGGAGTGGGCGGGATTTCCCGGGTAACAGAGAAGCGGCCGCGGCGGTAGAGGCGGCGGGGACGGTTTCTCCATCTCACCCCCCCTCCCCTTACCCCTCAGAGTTTCCCTCCCTCCCTCCTTCCTAGTCTGGGCATCGGGGTCTGTGACCGCTTCGTTAGCGGAGAGGGAGCTGCCAGTCCTCTTCGGTGGGCCTATGCCCTGCGCCGTTCGCGGGGCCTCATGCTGAGAGGGACACGCAGTAAGAAGCGGCCGTAGCAGCTTTGCGGTGAGAGCACGCCGGGCCGGGGATCCTGGTGGCGGGTAACGCGGGACTCGAGGGTGTGTATTTTTAAGGGGGTGACTGACCTTCTCGGCTTCCCGTAGAGCCGGCGGACGGGAGGTGTGTGGTTGTGTGAGGGGGTGGGGAGGGCGGAGCGGGTTAGCTTCGTGCG